CATGTCAAAGCAGTTTTCCAGTTCTACCCCATGATTATTCAGTGTGACTTTTCACTTGGTTAGTGGCATAAATTATACATACTTGGTGTCAACATGTATTGAGGGTACAATACCAGTAATGTCTGAAAGTTCAAGTCTAGTTGGTACATATTGGGAGTTCTATAGAAACTTAACACTGAAAGAAATATTGTATAAAGGAAATTCAGTTGTTCCTGAGAGATAAAATAATGGCTTAAATACATGGCACACAATGACCTATATTTATATACCTCTGTGTTCTTTGAAGTACCCTCTTTACTTAGAGTTTAGCCTGTTGGAAACTCTTTAAAGAATTATGGCTCAATGCAACAAGCATCTATGTTGTCACCAACACAGTCTGGGGGCTTTGGCTAAGCAAGCCCCCAGGGTTTATTTTGTTAAAGACTTTGTTCTGCAGCTGTTGGTGCTATTGAGAAGTGGAGAACCCTTTCGGAATTGGGGACTTCTGGGAGGTGTTTGGGGATACATCTTTAAGGAGAGTTGGACCCTTGTTCTTTTTGTGCCTCCTGTTTGCTCCCTGGCTTTAGACATCTACCAACTGCTTCTGGCATAATGTGCTGTGTTTCCACATGGCCTAAAAACTGATAGGCTCCCAGGTCATTGGTGGAAACCCCCACTGAAACCAGAAACCAAAATAGGTGTATTATCTTACATATTTGCTATAGTAAAAAGAAAGCTGACTAATAATACAGGTACAATCTTCTTCTCCGATGAATTGGATAGAAGAAAAACTTGAAAAACAGTAATAGATGTTGGCTGAGACATATATGATTTAGGAAAGTGGAATATCCTAGGATCTGATGGCCTACCTATTTCTTTTTTTTTTTCCACTCTTGTGTCTCTATTTGTCATGTAAGCTACCTCTGCTTATATGTATGAAAAGCCCCAGCTTCCACTAGAGTCTGGTATAAATTTAGGGGTGACTTACAGGAGTGTGCCAATGGAAACCCTATGACAGGCATGGTTGGAACGTGGGTGCTGTGGAAGGGGATTGGAAGGCAATGGTGCTGTTTTAATGAAAGATGGCTTTTCTTTTCTGTTTTGAGAGGTGTAAGATACGAAACTTAGATTCCCATGTCCTTTACCTGGTGGTGCTTTGAGTTCAGCAGAAACCCAACTGCTGGCCCAGTCTGAACGGTTGCTCTTCAGAATGGTCCTCACACTAGCTGCAAAGCCTTCATGAAGGGGGCTCACATGTTTGCTTTCAGTCGTTTTGGTATCATACTAAAATAAAGCCCGCCAATCATTGCATGTAAGAGAAAAACAATATTAATCAAATAGGCCCTTGACTCCACTTGGAAAATGATGCATAAGTGAAACAGAATAACGTGATCTTAGAAAAGACCCATTGTAACATTAACGCAGTTTCTTAAGTGACATATGAACACATTTCACTTTTTTTCTTTTTCTTAGTTTTTGAAGACAGGGTTTCTCTGAGTAGCCTTGGCTCTCCTTGAACTCGCTCAGTAGTTCAGGCTAGACTCGAACTCAAAGATTCACCTGCCTCTGCCTCCCAAGTTACCTTTTATTCTCATCTTTGATGCCAGTCTCCTCTCCAGAAGCAACTTCTTGACATGAAATTCTTTAAAATTCATATTTACTAGAAAATGGTTAATACAAATCACACCTCCCTTTCTTTCACCTTACTATAAATATAATACATGGCAGTCATGTTACTACATCCCTACCATAAATCAGAGACTGCAAGAAATCAACTTAAGACCCATAACATAGTCCATGAACTTGTCCTTGACCCTTGTACCATTTTGCTCACTACTTTAATGACACGTTGGGAGGTACGTAAACAATACTATCAAATACATTACACTTGAAAAGTTGGCAAACAGGCTGTGGAGAGGCTCAGTCAATAAATTTTAAAAAAATGTAAAATTCGAGTCATATGACAGCATGCACCTATAACCTCAGAACTGAGGATTAGGCAGAGACAGATGGGTCCCCAAATGTCATTGGCTCATAAGCCTATCAAAAATGAGAACCTCAAAATTCAGTGAGAGCCTTCTCTCAGAAAATAAAAGTCTTGGAGAGTGTTTAAGTGTTTAAGGAAAGTGTCAACCTGTGGGCTTCACACAGATGCATGAACACCAGCCTGCACATGTGCACGCACCCACACTAACAAGTATATAACAAACACATGCTCTCTCTCTCTTTCTCTCTCTCTCTCTCTCTCTCTCTCTCTCTCTCTCTCTCTCTCTCT